AGGTTACAGGCATGAGACAAACCATTTACCACTGACAGATGTGCTTACAATGTTCTGCTTTTATTTATGTAGAATCTTTATCCAAAAATAAAAACAATTGTTGCTGTAACTTTTTATAAAGTGTGAGCTGGGTGCGTCATTTCAATATATTTATTGCAAGTCATTCTAACAATCTACGCAGCATTTTACACGTTTCAATGTTATGTTGCAGCCTGATACTACAGTTGTTTAATCACTTGCCAACTGCGCAATGTAGTTTAACTGCTACAGTGCCACCGGGCAGAATCGTGTGTGTGTACACAAGATTGTTTATTTCTGGGTAGGGGGCACACGCATGCACTGACCCAGCTGTGCTGCCGCTGACTCCAGCACATGGAGATCAGCAGGTTCCAGCCAATGGATTCATGGTTGGGATCCGCCGATCGGTGGAGCAGATGAGAAGAGAGAGATCTGTGTTGGTAAACAACACAGATCTGTCTACTGACAGTGGTGTATGTGCCGATTTTTGTCTCCTTGCAAAGCAGGGAATAAAAACCGTCACATCCCCTAGTTAAAAACACCACAGAGTAAACTAATAAGCAATTGTTAGGCACACAGTTAACCCTTTGATTGCCCCAGATGTTAACCCTTTGCTACCCAGTGTCAGTAGTACAGTGACAGGGCATAATATTAGCACTGATCACTGTATTAGTGTCTCTGGTGATGTCAGTGTTAGATTGCCTGTTGCGTTATCAGTCCCACTTACGGATGCACCGATACCATTTTTTTTTTTTTTACAGAGAGTACGAGTACCAATATATTTTTTACCCAGTTACCGATACCTGCTGACAGCTGATTGAGTCATCTGTTGTTAGGGACTTGGCGGCCCCCTCCTTAACAACTGATAATTGCTGGCTTTTTAAAATTTCTTTTTTTTTTAATTTACATTTCAACTATCAGCGGAGTAAGCCCACTGGCAGCTGAAAGAACCGAGCCTGAAAGTATTGGTTTCGGTCTTTGGAGCGTTTGCAGGAGTAGCAATATTTGTGCAAATGCTTAGGACCGGTATTGATACAAACCCTAGTCTCGCTATAAGTCGCTGATCACCGCCATTACTAGTATAAAATAAATAAAAATTCCTATCTATACGCCGTCATTTGTAGACGCTATCAATTTAACGCAAACCAATTAATATACACTCATTGGGATTTTTTTTTTTGGCCAAAGACATGTAGGAGAATATATTTTGGCCTAAATGTGTGAAGAAATTTTATTTTTTTTTATTGGATATGTTTAATAGCAGAAAACAAAATTTTTTCTTTCAAAGTTTTCGGTCTTTTTTTTTTTATGTATATAATAAAAAAACATTATCAAATACAACCAAAAAAAGCTCTACAGTAATACCTCAGTTCACAAACTTTATTCGTTCCACAACTCTGGTCGTGAACCGAGGCAAATTTTCACATGGTGTTCAATGTAAAGCAGGGTAATCTGTTCTGAGCCCAAGGAACGTGGTCGCAAACCAAATTTGGTCGCCAACCGAAGGTTAATCTTGTAGGAGGAGTTTTTATTCTCTAATTGTTCTGTGAGGCTGCATAACTCCTGACCCTCTGTCTGGACAGCGCTGATTGGCCCAGTGCTGATCACATGCACCCTCCAAAAAACAACTCTAGCAATACACACCAAACAGAATATGTGCAGACTTGCCATGTGCTTTGCACGATGGCAGATGAATGGGGACAGTAGAAGGGGAGTATCAGAGAAGACAGGAAGAAACAGCCTTTTTACACCATGCAGAGTATTAACCCCTTAGGTTCCACAGTGAGTATAACAAGCATGCTTTACTGCATATACAGACTGATTGTACTGTTGTGGGTTCAGTAACACTTTAATCTACACTCAGTGCCCCAAAGTGACAAAGTCAAAACACAATATTTTAGAAATGGCTGAATTTATTAAACTGAAATACCACATGTATTTAAGTATTCAGACCCTTTACTCAGTACTTTGTTGAAGCACCTTTGGCAGCAATTACAGCCTCAAGTCTTTTTCGGTATTACCCAACAAGCTTTGCACACCTGGATTGGGGGATTTTCTGTCATTCTTCGCACATCCTCTCAAGCTGAGCCAAGTTAGATGGGGACCGTTGATAGACAGCCATTTTGAGGTCTCTAGAGATGTTCAATAGGGTTCAAGTCAGGGCTCTGCCTGGGCCACTCTAATACCGTTGATCGTTGTCATGTCGGAAGGTGAACCTTCAGCCCAGTCTGAGGTCCTGAGCGCTGGAACAGGTTTTCATTGAGGATAAAAGAAGCCTGAGCAAATGAATTCTGAAACTCCTGCGCTGGACGATGAGCTCCACAATGTCAGTAACCCCACATGGAGTACTTTTTGGGAAGGCAAGCCTTGCTGCCCTCAATGGACCAGGGAAATCCAAAGGAGCTGTGTGCAAAGAAACAAACAGAGGGCTCGCGGGCCTAGTGCATTACCTTCTAAAAATTAGATTTATTGAATAAAAAGTAGTATACTTACAAACAGGGTGGCTTTGATTTAAATCCTAGTTTTTTTACATAGACTCATTCTTGCTGGTATAACTTTAATATGCAAGTAGATGAAGATTTTTAGAATAACAACTTTTCATATTAGTTTTTTTATCCCCAGTTTAATAGGTTAATCATTTATATTTGGACAACTTTTCTGTGGAAGGAGAAAAATAATCATTACCTTAATAATAACAATTTAAATAGATTTATTCAACTGAAACAATAACATTCCAGCATATGTGATTCGCTTAAACATCCATGTTTGGTAACTAATTTGGCTAAACAAAATATATATAAAGAAACTTAGACTGTCAGCCCCTTCCTCCTCACACTTAGTTTCACTTTCTTCTTGTGCAGATCTATTCCACTCCAAACAATCAGAAAAATATTGTTTCTATTCTATTCACTGAACTTCTTGAAACTTAGCACTGAAGGGGTTGATTGTGTATTCATAGGTTTGTAGAAGTTAGGATGAAGGTCTTTTTTTTAACTCTGTTCATGTTATAACATTTTTGCTGTGAAGAAGAGGCATGTGATCTCCGCCGAGTCAAATTCAGTTTTGAGAACTGCAAAAGTAAACCAACATCTGTGATAATATCTTGTAGGCAGAGAAACTGCCCAATAATCTTACAAAAACCTCTGGAAGAGCATGACATTGTGAATGGATTCATGGAATTTATTTACCAAAAAAATTAAACATATACAGCCTTATTCTACATAATTAAAAAACTAATCTTTATTTCATGATGGAATAACCTTTGGATGGTAATGTATTTTCCTCAAAAAGCATTTTATTTTAAAAAATCCGATTTAAATAAAAAAAATCCGATGTAAATCAAAAAAAATCAGATTTAAATAAAAAAAATCAGATTATTTTGATTTTTTTTTTAAAAAATCATTGATTTTTATCCACCCTGGCTCACAAAAGAATAAAATCAAAGGCACATCACAAAGAAGACGGCCTGGTCCAATCTCCCCGGATGGTGGCTATTTTAGAAGGTAGGAAGATTGATGCTAACAGCAGAGGAATCAGCACAGGGGACACCTCTTACTGACTGTAGACTACATCTTCTGTGCTGATTTTCCTGTGTTTGCTTTTGGCTGCCCTTGGGCTTTAATTTACAAAGCTTCCTAACAGTCGGTACATTTTACAACGCGATGGCTGCCTGAACTATAAATATCACCGTATTAGAGTGGCTACTATTCAGCTATTATTTACCCAGCTTGTCATGCTTCTTTGTAATTGCAAAGGCAAAAAATTAAATTGATTCTGTCACAAAAGGCAAAGTGGTTGTAAACCCTTACATATACCCAGTGAAGTGACTGGCCTCAGGTGATACACAGATATGAAACCAATCTTCCTACATAAGTTGTACCTGTTTATCTAAAGTGTTCTCTTCTCTATAGCCTTTCAAAGCCCAGAATGTATACAGCTTGCCTGGGCTTTCCGAAAACAGGACAGAGAGCTGAAATTACATACTGCAAAGCACATTAGGTAGAGCTCTGAGAGCTGATTGGAGGGAAGGGTCACCCACCACCCTTCACACAGGAATAGAGCTGAGGCTTTCAATCGCATGCTGTGTGCCTGAACTCCCTCCCCTGTCACCTTTTTACCTGTACGTGTCAGGAAAAAATTGTCCGAAGGGATTCATGCTGATAGCAGGGGAATGAAGCAGGAGGCAGACATGACACTTCGTGCTCTGTATTGAAACAAGTAGACAATCTAGAGGGATATGTTTTGTTCATATTTCATGTTTGAGGGTTACAACCACTTTAAAAAGCAATTGTACTTGTAAAAGGGATAGGAAATACCCCTCTTGCTGCCATCACTGCTCAAAGGATAAGTTCACCTATGGGAACATGTTACATGTTCAGCCCGTTCTTAGGGTGGAACATGTAACATGTTCCCAATGCTGCAGCTGCTGCCTGCTAATTTTTGTGCTAAAGGTGAGTTTATCTTTTTATTGCCGCTCCAGGGAAGAGGAATCCCTTCTGGTGGCAATGTGCCTCCGGAAATATACAAACAACCACATCGTTGCCAGCAACCATTTAAAAGTGAGTGAATGGATTTGGCCTTTTAAAGCAAATAGTTTTTAGTTTTTCAATGTTGTTTGGTTTTAATCCATTGCTTCTCTGTAGAAAACCTTTATATTTTAGATAAACTTTATTTAGGATACTGTATCAGGTATAAAACCTTAGATTCCAATCCTGGTTAAATATCCATTGTTGATCTTGGTAACGTTTCAGGATTTTATAGTGCAGTCAACTGTCAGAAGAGGGCACTCATCACAAGTTTCCTGTTTGCTGAGGCATGCAAAGTGACTCTAATCTTTTTCTACATAGACTCGCCTGCAGATCCTCAGAGTACAGTTAAAGATGGCAGAAACAGACGTGGACAATGAGCTGTTGGATTACGAGGACGATGAGGTGGATAACCAGGCTGGGGGTGATTCCCAGGACCTCCCAGCTAAGAAGGAGATGAAGGGATCCTATGTGTCCATACACAGCTCTGGCTTCAGAGATTTCCTCCTCAAACCTGAACTGCTTCGTGCCATTGTGGACTGTGGATTTGAACATCCTTCAGAAGGTGAATGAATGAATGAAGCTAATGGGATGTAAACGGTTTAAGCAGATTGGGACTTTTGATACTGCCATGCAGATGTATGAATACATTAGTGTTTTATGATATCAAAGATGTAATCTGTAGATGATGTTTTAAAAGGGAACCAGCTGTGAAAAAGTAATCTGAGTCTTCATTGTAAAATTGCTTAAATGATGCAGCATCTGTCATATCCATTGCATTTATTCTGAAGATATATTTGCTTTTCACTGCAGTGACCTTCACTGGGTCCGGTTAGGACCTGGCAGTCCTCTAAAATGCCCAGCCAAAGGCAATATCTGTCACTGATTATTTTGCACTTACAAGTTTCTTTCTTCCTACATGCACCCTGTATTTTTCACTTGAATAAGATGTGCATTGATCATGTAGTTTCATGGTGTCATTTGCTGCCCTGTACGCACAATAGAATAGTAAATCTTCACATTCCGGTGTCAGAAATTTGTGTTGTGTGGAAACATGAGACATGCTGCATGGTACTGCACGAGTTAATGTACGACTTCTGTCTGTAGTCTGAGGGCCGCTTCACACCGGAATGCACTGCGATTCACTTGATTCAGTTTAGTGCGGTGCGATCTGAGCCAACATCAAAAGTCGTGCATGCACTACTTTTGAGAACTCACTGCCCTCAGGTTGCATGGTAACATGTGATCCAGTGCAGGCAAATGCATTATTTGTGAACTGTGTTTGAGGCGTTAAGTTAACATTGACACCCACTGCAGTGCATTTTCAACGCAGGTGGGCAACGGGCACAGAACGCAGATTTCCCACACCGCATTCTGGAACAGACACAATCCTTGGGTCTGTCAGTCTAGTGCAGGAGCAGTAATTACATCAGATAGACACAGGCAGGCACAGCAGTGAAGAGATGTGTTTTGATAACATTAGCACTCCTACATTTGTGATACAACACAAAGAAATGGCCAGGCATTGATTGGACGCTGTGTGACCAAGAAAAAGAAGTCTTGTATTAAAAGAGGTATAGACTCCAGAGAGAGAGAGAGATCATTTCCCCCGGTACAAATCATTAGTCATCTGGAATATGCAGTTCAGTTTTGGGCTCCAATTCACAAAAAGAACACTGGGGAACTGGAGAAAGTGCAGAGAAGGGCAACCAAACTGATACGAGGCATGGAGGAGATCAGCTATGAGGAAAGATTAGAGGAACTGAATTTATTCTCTCTTGAGAAGAGGAGATTAAGGGGGGATATGATCACCATGTATAATACATAAGGGGGGATATGATCACCATGTATAATACATAAGGGGGGGATATGATCACCATGTATAATACATAAGGGGGGGATATGATCACCATGTATAATACATAAGGGGGGATATGATCTCCATGTATAATACATAAGGGGGGATATGATCTCCATGTATAATACATAAGGGGGGATAGGATCAACATGTATAATACATAAGGGGGGATATGATCACCATGTATAATACATAAGGGGGGATATGATCACCATGTACAATACATAAGGGGGGATATGATCTCCATGTATAATACATAAGGGGGGATATGATCACCATGTATAATACATAAGGGGGATATGATAATACTCCATGTATAATACATAAGGGGGGATATGATCAACATGTATAATACATAAGGGGGGATATGATCAACATGTATAATACATAAGGGGGGATATGATCTCCATGTATAATACATAAGGGGGGATATGATCTCCATGTATAATACATAAGGGGGGATATGATCTCCATGTATGAATACATAAGGGGGGATATGATCTCTGTATGTATAATACATAAGGGGGGATATGATCACCATGTATGAATACATAAGGGGGGATATGATCACCATGAATATGAATATCATAAGGGGGGGATATGATCTCCATGTATAATACATAAGGGGGGATATGATCTCTATGTATAATACATAAGGGGGGATATGATCTCCATGTATAATACATAAGGGGGGATATGATCTCCATGTATAATACATAAGGGGGGATATGATGAACATTTATAAATACATCAGTGGTTCATATAGTGAACTCGGTGTAGAGTTATTCACCCTGAGGTCATCACAGAGGACAAGGGGGCACTCTTTACGTCTGGAGGAAAAGAAATTTAGTCTCCAAACACGGAAAGGTTTCTTCACAGTAAGAGCTGAGAAAATGTGGAATAGACTCCCTCAAGAGTTGGTTCTGGTCAGCTCAGTGGATTGCTTCAAAAAAGGCCTGGATTCTTTCTTCGATACACAGGATATAACTGGGTACTAACATTTATAGGTAAAGCTGATCCAGGGAATGTCCGATTGCCTCTCGGGGGATTAGGAAGGAATTTTTTTCCCTGCAGGAGCAAATTGGATCATGCTTTGCTGGGTTTTTTTCCTTCCCCTGGATCAACTGTGGGTATAGGCTTATAACTTTTTTTTTTTTTTTTCTATGGTTGAACTGGATGGACTTTTGTCTTTTTTCAGTCAGACTAACTATGTAAGTTGTCTTCCTCTCTAGTGAATAGGGACCAGCTAGGTGAATGAATATATGTGAATAGGGGAATTGATCAGCCATGACACTACAAACTGCAGCCACAACATGTGATTGTATAATTACAAAGTAAGGCAAATAACACAGAGAATAGAAGTATACTAATACTTGGGGAAAACATAAACATTTGAAACGGTACAATGCTTTTAAAGACGGCCTGTACTCTGGAAGCTGTGCCCAAAAAAGCAAGCAGAGAGCAATAGGCTAGCAGCAAATTTGCTTGTAGTCTCCCTGTAGCTAATCTTTTCCACATTAGTGTCTTACCATATTTTCTTCTGCTCTTTGTTTATGTGTAGAGGTGGCCATTTTGATAGAGGCAGGGCTTTGCTTCCTCATGTCGGAGCTGTCCCCCTTATTACTGATGGGAGAAAATATAAAAATAATACACAGATTCATAGGATGGATGAAGCCGAAGTAGGGGATTCTTGCACTGCAGGCCTTCATGTAAAGCTTCCTCTCAGGAGAATGTTGAAAGCAGCACACATCACCAAATCATACTCCCTCTTCGGTGAAAGTACAGGTTGGTGCCTTAGATGATCTCACACAGCAGCTTTACAAATATGAGGCTGATGGCACAGGTAGCGTGCTGCTATTTCCAAGGGAATTTCTAGACAAACTGTAAATCTTTCAGGGCATACCTTAGGCACATGTTATATATTTTATGTTCCCTATAAGATGGCCGATCTTTACTTTTTAAACAAAGGTCCACCTTAAGTACAGACATTAACCCAATTCTCTTTGCTTTTCTTGTCAACAGTACAACACGAGTGCATTCCACAAGCCATCCTGGGCATGGACATTCTCTGCCAGGCAAAGTCTGGCATGGGGAAAACTGCAGTGTTTGTCTTGGCCACACTACAACAACTGGAGCCTGTTACAGGGCAGGTGAGGAAAGACTTGTCTTAAGAATATGTACATTTTCTGTATTTGACTTTGGCTTATAACATTTTTGTCTTTCTAAAGGTCTCCGTGTTAGTCATGTGTCACACCAGAGAGCTAGCATTTCAGATCAGCAAAGAGTATGAACGATTCTCCAAGTATATGCCATCTGTGAAGGTAAGAGTGGGGGAGTATGGATATCCTTCATTTCATCGTATGCAATTTTTATTTTTTTACTATGAACTCTGTTTACCAGTTGCTGGTAGTATGGTCTCTGCTATACTTAAAGCTGAACAATACTCGCCTTGAGTCTAGCAATGCGCCATCTCCGGAACACACTGCTGACCTCTGTCATTGGGGCGCACAACGAATTTGTGCAGTGAGCCTGCGCAGCTTACTCTACAGTGGCAGATAGGCAGGTAAGAAGCTTTAATGCAGAAGAGACAAAGCTTGTCTCTTCTGCATTAAAGATCCTGCTTGTCCTCCCATTTTTACTTTTGGAGCTTTAACCACTTCAAGTCCGGACACTTTCACCCCCTTCCTGTCCAGGCCAATTTTAGCTTTCAGTGCTATCACACTTTGAATGACTATTGCGCGGTCATGGAAGACTGTACCCGTATGAATTTTTTTAGCATTTTTTTTGAGACAGATGAAACTTTATTTTGGTGGTATTTATTCGCCACTGGGATTTTTATTTTTTTTGCTATATAAATGAAAAAGTCCAAACATTTTGAAAAGTGTTTTTTCTTTTAAAATTTTGCAAATAAATAATCTTTCTTCATAAATCTTGGCCAAAATGTATTATCTTTTTAGTAAACAAAAAATAACCTAAATTAGTTTATAACCAAAAAATTATAATTTTTCAAAAATTTTGTTTACACTTTTATTTTTTTATAGAAATATATTTTTTAACATACTGTCACCCTAGCAGTACAGTGTCACCATAGTGACACTGTACTACTTGTGGGGGGTGATGAAGATTTTTATTTTTTTTTTTACACTGATTGCTTTTACACCCATAAAGGCTGTAAAAACAATCATTTCTCCTTCTCTTTGGCTGCATTCTTGCAGCCATTGATAAATACTGTGTGAGCTGTGATTGGTCACAGCTTGTCACATGGTACAAGGCTGTTGTGAATAGCCTTGTACCACGTGATCTCTGTGATAATTCACAGATTTCACTAGTAGTAAGCAATGATGTCAGAAGTGACATCTTGCTTACTACTATTCATGTGATCACTGATTGGCCAATCAATGATCACATGAATTGGGAACACAGGTCCCGTACAGCGATCGGTGTTCACACAGCGGGCACCGGATTGCAGTGCCGCGCGCTCCCAGGGAGCACGCACAGGCTGTGAAAGCGGGCGCCATTTATAAACGGCAACCCACTCCTGCACTGCTCCCGTCTGGCCGTTTATGTACATGGGCCGGATGGGAAGTGGTTAAGGGAACATCCTGTATTCACTGGTATAACCCCTGCTAGAAGTGTGGGTTTGTGTGTGCCATTGTGTGATAGTCCCCTGTTGCAGTCCTTAACATTACCCTGCTGCAAATAATATGAGAAGCAGATAGCCAAGAGTGTAGCCTGTAAAAAGACTATGCTCAGGGCAGGCATCATTTGGGCAAAGTTAGGGGCAGCCAGACAGCAACATCCATTAACAGGCCAGGCTCATAACTGAATAACTGCAATGAACTCAGAACAGATACTGGGAATGGTGCTGGTGCTAGTGGTTCCTTACATTCCTAAAGTGGTTGTAAACACCAGTCAGGAAATCTGAACAAAGCACATATATCCATAGTGCTTCCGTTGTCTCTCTCCAAAGCTCACAGCGTCATTTCTCTCTATCCCAACATCCGCGATAAAATTGCCTACTCATGTGAAGGGGTTGGTCTCTTTCCTCCAATCGGCTCACACAATTTACAAGAGCTCTAACTGCAGCTTCCTGCCCCCTCCTCTGATACTGAAGCTGAAGAAGGATTTTATCTAAATTCAGCCCTTTAGAAGGGATGCAGAGAAGACTGCAGATGAACAAGTAAATCTTATGTAGGAGGCTTTGTTTCATCTATGTGTATCACCTGAGGCCAGTCACTTTATTTGGTATATGTGAGGGTTTACAACCACTTAAAGTACAAGTTTTCTTTAAACACAATAGTCCCCCCTCTTCCCTCATTATTAAAGCTATGAGCTGACATGGGTGTAAATGTTGTAATCTAGGAAGGAGAAGACATGGCATACAAAGAAAGCAAGAGGCTTTGGGTTATCCAAGACTACAGATATGCTTTAAGGCTCATTGTAACGTTTCATAGCGAACACTGTCAGAATTATCTTTTCATAAACTTGACACTTAGTAAATATAACTTCCCTCTTTTTGCATACTAGGTGGCTGTGTTTTTCGGCGGACTTGCAATTAAGAAGGATGAGGAGATGTTGAAGAAAAGCTGTCCACACATTGTGGTTGGGACACCTGGTCGAATTCTGGCGCTGGCAAGAAACAAGACCCTAAACCTCAAACACATCAAACACTTCATCCTGGATGAATGTGACAAGATGTTAGAGCAGCTAGGTGAGGAGGTGATGGGCAAGAGGAAATGGCTTATGGGCATTGTATAAAATGCCATTGCTATTGAATATTGCATATAATCTTGGGATCTCCAAAATTGATTGGAAGATCCTTTTTATTTTTCACAGTTTGTGTACTTTTACCTGTCTTATTAACTGAAGTCCCTTTCACACGAATCAGCAGGTGTAAACAGACTTGTGTCCTTTTACATCCACCTACCTCTGATCCAGTTTGCTAATAAAAAACGAAATCTTTCCTCCGTCCAGGCGGATCGGAGGGCAGTCTTCGTTGCCTGTTTACACCCAGCCTCCCATAGAGCATAGTGGGCTGTGTCTGTGTCCACTCCGCATAAACTCAGCGGACATGGACCTTTCATCCACCCCGCTCTGCTCTGATCAGCATACAGATCACCTGCTGGTCAACACTGAGTCCACCTCATGTGAAATGTCTTTTGTGACACACTGCTAATTACCTTTGCAGATATGCGCAGAGATGTCCAGGAAATATTCCGTATGACTCCTCATGAGAAGCAGGTCATGATGTTCAGTGCTACCCTGAGCAAGGAGATTCGCCCAGTTTGCAGAAAGTTCATGCAAGACGTAATAACCGACTCTTCACATCCCTCCTCTTCTTCCCTCCGCACCACCCCTCCAGCTGTCCCCGCCTGACACTGCTTCCTGAGAGATGCTGGGAACAAGAATCTGCAAGCGCAATCAGTTGCTGTTTCCCTTTCATAGAAAGTGACATGGTCGGCAAAACTCTGTCACTCAGCTATAGCAAGAATTAGGTCCCTGTGGCACCATTCACACAAGTGTGTCACTGACATAGCAGACAGCCAACCCCTGTGACACTATTCACACCAATGTGTCACTGATACAAGTATGTGACACTATTCACACCATGTGTCACTGATATAGCAAGTAGCGAATCCCTGTGACACTATTCACACCAGTGTGTCACTGACATAGCATGTAGCCAATCCGTGTGACACTATTCACACCAATGTGTCACTGACATAGCATGTAGCCAGTCCGTGTGACACTTTGCACAAGTGTGTCACTGACATAGTAAACAGTTAATCCCTGTGACACTATTCGTTCAAGTGTCACCCCAGCCAGTAGCAGACATCCAGTCCATACGACATATCATATCAAGTACAATAGCAGTTCATAACAAACATCCAGTCCTTATGACAGTATCCAGAGAAGTCTCACAATATCTAGAATCAAAGGCATTCCCTGTAGTACTATCAATAACACTTATAGGGAATATCCAGTTTATGTGACACTGTCCACACCCAAGTGTCTCAGTAGCCATAACTGTGGCCACCTTACAAGTTTTACATTAGCCAGCTACAAAGATCAAACGCCACCAGCACCTTATCTAACTGTATAGCCAGCAGCCAATCCCACTGTGACACATCAGCACAAATGTTATTAGCCATTGCCAGACATAGCTATTCCCTGTGTGATACACCACCAGTGTCACACAACCAAACGACCTTCTAGATGAAGTCACTTAATGGCGCCTCATCACAACTATTGCACATATCTATACAAATGCTGGTGTAATGCCATTTAATTCATATATAACACACTAATGCAGCACACCAGTTACGTTTTTGTGGCTTTTTTTTTTTCTTGTACAAAAGCAAGTCAGTCCTATACCACAGCATTGTTTCTTCTCACAAGCTTTGCCCTGCTTTATAAAGCACTATAGGCCGATATTGTGCCAAGTCACTGACCTCTGCTTTTATTTAGCACAAGTCTGTGCCACACTAAGGGCCACTCTGCAGCATTTTATTGTGACTGCTGAACTTTTTGTAAAGATGAATGCTCAATATTTTTAAGCAAAAGGACTCTTCTAGAATTGAGAGTTTTTGTTTTTTTTTTCTTCAAGCCATACCTTTGTCACATTGAGTTTTTCTATTATTCCATGGCAATCACGCTGTTTTTGGCTTTCACGAGTGGCCTAATAATCCATTTTAAAACAAAAAAAAATTTTTTAACAATTTTTTTTTTTTTTTTTTTGTCTTTTGAAATTTGGCTGAATTTGTCAGTGCCAATATATGGGAGTGGAAGGTTTGACATACTGCCAGTAAGAACTGGGCACAGTTGTTACCAGCAGTATTGAAGGGCCGCTGTCAAGGGGCGGGTGGGGTGGTGTACCTTCAAAGGGCTCATGTTCAGATGGATGGGCTTCGACAGGCTTTCACATTGCTGTGGGACTGGTGTCAGGTTAGCTGAGATGTTTATAGAAAGCTTTAATATAGTTAATATCTGTGCTATAATCTGAGCTTTGAGGGCTTTCAACCGCTTAGGTTTTTTTGGGGTGGTTGTCAGGAAAAGGGAACCTTTGTATAAGCATCAGTTCACAAACTGGATAGCTCAGGGCAGAAGTGGTGCCTTGGACAGCGACCTGTAATATGAGTGTGGTGTTGGGATTGAAGTCGGCAGGGGGCCAGTTACAGTCCCTAATGATGGGAAATATTTGAGTTTTACTATGGAAGTGATCATAGGGGGTTTAGTGAAATTCCAGAAAGCAGTCTGATCCATGGGATAGCACCAAGGAAACAGGACCCCCTCTCTTTCCATCTCTGTCTTCTCTCTGCTGTTATCTCCTCTACTGCTCAAGTCAGTGTGAATGTGTGAAAAGTATGTGCCAGTATGTTCATCTTCATATACACTGGACATTTCCTGTCCTTGTTTGTAAATCTTGTGATGGTACATAAGCTGGCATATATTAGCATGTATGTACATGAATGTATGAGACCTATAAATTGTAGCTTATGTATGCATTTCTGATACACATTGTGGAAAGGCTTTTATATTCAATGTTCTTGGGAGTCTGAGTATGTCTTCAGAACTACTACACTTCAAATACAAGCTACTCTGATTTGTTATACTTATTAGAATGTTCAAATAAGATCCAAAGTCTAGTGATGATTGAAAATGCCTAAATCCATAGCTGCAAATTACATTTCAGATTTCTAAAGTTTGAACACTAAAATATTAAATCTGGTTAATAGTTGCTTGTGCATTTTAATAATGGTCATCGCACCTTGGTAAATGGTCTTGTGTAAGACCGATCTTGGCAAGACTCCTGAGCATTCAGGTAACTCCGTCACTAGCATGACCTTACTAATGAGATGACAGCAGGTTTCGCAAGCCTCTTGAAATGTAAAAATCAGCACACCAAGAAGAGTGTTTCCCCCCCCCCCCCCCCCATCACACAATGCATTTCCTGGGCCTTGTTAACCGTCTCATAGTTCTAGACATTGCCATGAACTTTCAATTGAGAGATTATGGGACTCTCGAGACCAGCTGTATCTTTTTTTGTGGAAGAACCTAACAGAACCATCTAATATTGTATAATATCGAAACTAGTGGTGCACCGAAATGAAAATTCTGGTGCCGAAACCAAAAATTCAGGATGCACTTGGCCAAAAATCGAACGGACAGTTTTTAAAAATGTATATATTTTTCAAAATGCAATTTTTTGGAAAAAAAAATACACTTTGATTAAAAAAAAACTATATATACCCCAATTGTTTTGTAAAATATGAAAGATGATGTTAAATGTAAAAATTTCTACAGGTTAACAGTGTAAAGTTGCTCTTGCTCTGACTTTTGTGGCGATACCTCACGTGTGGTTTGAACACTGTTTACATATGTGGGCGTGGCCTACGTATGCGTTCACCACTGCGTGTGAGGACGGGGGCACTTTAAACTTTTTTTTACTTTAATTTTTTTTTCTTTTTTTACACTGTCCCTTTAAAAAAAAAAAAAAAAAAAAAAATGTAATCACCTTTTATTCCTATCACAAGGAATGCATGTATCCCTTGTGATAGAAATAATTAGTGTTCTACGTATGCGTTCATCACTGCGTGCGAGGATGGGGGTTCTTTTAAACTTTTTTTTCACTTTATTTAATTTTTTTTTTTTTTTTTTACACTGTCCTTTTAAAAAAAAAAAAATGTAATCACCTTTTATTTCTATCACAAGGAATGCATGTATCCCTTGTGATAGAAATAATTAGTGGCCTACGTATGCGTTCATCACTGCGTGCGAGGATGGGGGTTCTTTTAAACTTTTTTTTTCACTTTATTTAATTTTTTTTTTTTTTTTTTTTTTTTACACTGTCCCTTTAAACAAAAAAAAAATGTAATCACCTTTTATTCCTATCACAAGGAATGCATGTATCCCTTGTGATAGAAATAATTAGTGGCCTACGTATGCGTTCTTCACTGCATGCAAGGATGGGGGTTCTTTTAAACTTTTTTTTTCACTTTATTTAATTTTTTTTTTTTTTTTTTTTTACACTGTCCCTTTAAAAAAAAAAAATGTAATCACCTTTTATTTCTATCACAAGGAATGCATGTATCCCTTGTGATAGAAATAATTAGTGACCAGCCCTCTTTATGGAGAGATGGGATTAATAAGACCCCACATCTCTCCTCTACAATGTAGAGCATTAGATCAAAAAATGCATTGATCTAGTGCTGTACAAAAAAAAAAAAAAAAAAGGCCTTCTGTACAAGGTGTCAGAAGTGACATTGCTGCAGTCCTCCAAGGGTATAGAGATGAGTGGAGGCCATCTTTCCTTCACTTATCTCTATGCCCAACGCCAGGATCGTTCGGTGGTTTCTCGGGTAAGGCTCAGAACTTTTGAGTGGCGGCGAGGGGGGCGGGGTTATTTTCAGCAACTGTATCGGTGCTTACTTTCTTGTCAGCCAATGGCCGGTGGTGTTTTCGGCCGAAATGTTTCAGACACCGAAATTCCGGTGCATCCCTGATCGAAACGTTTAGTCAGTGTGAAAGGACATGCTAGTGACCAGTTTGCATAGCTGTCTTGTCATGATCTTCTACAAATACCAAATATCATTGCCTGTGACACACTTTTGTGCTTTTCATGCAACCTTGCCCTTACATTTTGTAGCTTGTATTTCAGCATTCAAGGCGACTTGCACCTCCAGGCGTTGTGTGCAGGCAGCCCATTCATATCTTGTCATGCATCGTGGGAATGCAGTGACTTCATGGACACAGCCGGTTTTCCCAGTTTGATTGCCATGAGAGTGAGTGCCCCCAAATGCAGACAGTGTACATTCAGGGCCGCTCACCCACATGGATGAGCAGCTGTGTCCCTGCAGCCGCTGTGTCCCCAATGACATGAATGGGCTGCCTGCACGCAGCACCTGGAGAATCAAGCTCCCTTGAGATTGAGGCCTAAATGAAATTTAATTTCAATGTTAAAATGAAAATATAGTTTTAAGTGCCTGTTTTCCTGTTCTAGAAGTTACTGAATTTGTCCTAATTTTTAATAATGTATTTATTAAATGTGAAGTAACCTTTCACAGTTTTTCATTTGCTGGTTGTCCACTGAACACCCCAACATCCAGTGTCTTAACTGATGGTGTTTTGTGAACACAGTCGTAATATTTACATGTGTAAAGACTTGATAACACCCATTTTTCTGAATGTTGTTTGCCCATCCCAGATGCTTATTGCTCTTAGGATCTTGTATGTGAACCAATATTAACTCTGGTCGTCAGACTTTTTTTTAGCATTGAATATATAAGCTTTTTCTGTACAGGGGGTTT